AATAAAGTGATAATGGGCGACAGCTAACAGAGTAAGCACTAAATTTTGGAAGAGAAGCAGGTAATGCTTTTGCAACTGCTTAGATTTATGATTTCTTTCTGCAAGCGCGAAAAGAACTTAATTATTTTAGGATGTCCAGTCTGGGCAATAACACGGCTTTTTCTAAATAATATAGAACTCTAGTTTCCACTTAATGTTCCATACGTCTGGTAGATGTTTTAATGAATCTGCCGCCTGGATTACTGTTGTTTCCATGCTATACAGTGTTTGTTCTATGGATTGAAAAAATTGGCTGGATGGGGTCCTGTGGATGGAGTAGTCCCTCCTCCTCGATCCACTGTAGTCTTGACGAGAGGAACTGAATTTCCTTCTTCATTTTATCAAGCTCTGAATCGTAGAACGGCCGAAGATGTAAAGTTTATCTGTTATTTGTATACTACAGATGTAACTCCCTGGTGTAATTCTTGGAAGTGAATTTCGTGCTCTTCGTCTCTTAATTCCCCTCTTTTCCTATGGAGGGGTGGTGCTTTATAGTGACAGTCTAACAATCCCGAGATTAATTTCATAACTTTTTACGGGGGAAGGAAACACCATGTGGTCCGTATATGGGCAGGAAGGTGTTCAAGTCATTTATTGTCAATTTCGTGGTTCCATTATAGTTTGAATGAAAAAATTTCTGCACGGGATGATACCGCTAATGCTTGTCCTGTTTTTGAAGCTATTATATTGTTTCGTGTAGGAGTAGTAGTGCTGTTTTAAATGAATCTTTTTCGGCTAGTTGATACACTAGACCCAGCATGGTGTCACCCAATTGACAGCGTTGAATGGTGGCTTTTGTTTCTTGCTGATTGATGTGGTGTTTCATTTTGTCTTGAAAGTACTGTATTTTGGGGTTTACGAAGTCGTATCCTTCGTGAAATGGGTCTCCATGTTGCGTTACTTTCCATACACTTGCGTCTCTTTGACTTTAATTGTGACCTTTTCATGAACAACGGTGGTTGCTCCACTATGATTTTTCGAGCATTTTGCAATTAGCACTTTTTCTGTACATCTTCCTTAATTGTACTGTTGTCGTGAAATCTTATTGTCGCTTGCAAGTCGGGTATAAAAATCCTGTTTGTTTTGCATTGTGCCAGAAATCTGCCTTAAAGCCGAAAATTGCAAGTTTGTTGAAGGTTTGAGAGCTTCAAATAATTATGCTATCCTTTGTCTGACAGTGGCCTGCACGGGGATTACAATGGTGGCTCATCGCTAAATTGGTTATTATGTGATTTTTGTCTGGTATGGTGACGGACTGCATTTTCAAAAATAAGTTGCAGGAAGAGTAA